AATTATCTAAAAACTGAGATATTACAAGCATCTTTTAGGACGCTATCTTGGACGACATCTTGAATTTCAGACAAAGTTCTTGTGAAAATTTGGCCAATTTTATCTAATATTAACGAGAAGTGAATGCTGAACAATTCAGCAATTTTTAACTTGCTCCTAATTTTTATGGATGAAATGACATTTTTTGCTAATTTTACTGAGCTATATCCAATGTACATGGTAGAGTTGTCAGCGTATGTTAAGAAGGAAATACAACTTTCAAAAACTATTTAAATATATCAACATTTGATTTGTTAATACTATCATTTATTCTCAAATATTTTTTAAAATTTATTGACCATTTTATACTTTATTTTCATTTAAAAATTTATTCAACTTATAAATTGAAAAAAGTATTAAAAACACAAAACTTTAATAGATAACTTAGTTTAATAGATTAATCTTAATTGACTTAATAATTAAGTTAAATCTAAAACGTAATTATTGGTAACTAAACTGTGTAAAGGTGCGATTAGTAATGAGACCAAGTTAAACTAAATATATTTACTGCCAAAAAGACATGGTTATAAAAAAATCCTTGTGTTTCTGCCTTGCAGAAAATATCATTGCTGGCGATGTACTGAATCTACAAGGGAGAATCTATGCATCAAAATGTGTTTTAGGGGTATGGCAGTTACCATCATGATATAAAAAAACTTGTTTAAGTTTTTTCGATACATTCTTCTTTTAAAACTTAAATCCAGCCAATTAAAAAAAAAAATTTTATGATTGCTTCTCAAGAATTGTTCCTTAAAACTATTCGCACTAACTTTTAGGTTTTATCAATTTGCCATTTAAAGTTTTCTTTTTTAACACATTTGAAGGTCAGTGTATTATGTAATTTTGTAAATCAAATGCTTTGTTTTATCTTAAAATGTATTTATCATTCTTAAACTTGATGATATTATAAAAAAATTTTCTAAATAAGTGTTTACTAAAAATAAATTTTTTATTTTTAAAATTTTAGAGTTGGCCAAGTTTAAATAAATAAGAGTTGGCCAAGTTTAAATAGAGTTGACCAAGGTTAAATTGTTTGAATATTATAACTATATAATATGTAGTTGTATGCAGTAGTATTAGTAAGATCAAAATAAAACATTGTATTCTTTTTTTTTCATAAATTTTTTTATATGACTACCACTTTAAGTCTTTTAAATTGGAGTAAAATGACTCAAATTTGATTCCAAAATAATTTTAAGAAATTAAGATAAATATTTTTTGACTATTTAGTCTGAAGTTTAGATAACTTATAGATAGATCGTCTTAATTTGAAAAATCATAATTATTATGTTTGTTGATTTTTTTTAGTGATTTGTTTGTTATTTGAAAGTTAGTGTTGTCAACATAATAGCGAGTGATTAAAAGTTTTAGTCATATAATACGATAGTTTATAAAATAACAAAAAGCAATGAGTCTAATATGGAACCATAGGGTACACCTGTGATACATTTCATTGAATAAAGATTTATCATCATCAATGGAGATGAAATGCAATCTATTAATATAAAAGGATGGAAAATATTAAAAAGCAATACCTTAAATACCATTAAGTTTCAACTTGTCTACGAGAATGGGTTTCGAGATAAAATTTCTAAATATTTGACTGACATGACAACAGAGTTCATGATTTTTCTGAAATAAGCCAACCTGATATGACGGTAGTAAAGAATCCTTTCTGTGGACTTTGATGACCTCAATGATTCGTTTCAAGAAGAAATAATATATTTGAAGAATAATTTTGGTTGTCCGGACGTGTTTAAAATAAAACCATTTCCAATTTTTATATTGCAATGTCATGACTGCCTAATATTCTCTTCGCAAACTCTTGCCTTTCACAAACACATGGTTTTTTAGGGCAGAGTTCATTTTTTTGACAATCATTGCAGTATTCTGGTGTTAGAAAAAAAACTAAAATAAATAGGAAGAACGATTTCGAATATCAAATACTGCCGCAAGAATCATTCGAAAGGACATTTAATTATTAGTCTTTGATAATACCAATTATCCCTCGCCTTGTCATATGTTTGAAGATATTACCAGCGATATTTCGGAGTTGAAATTTTTTTTTTGAACAAGTAAGACGGTTTGATTCAAAACGCCTTATACAATTCTTTTCGTCTTTTGGTTTATGCGCTTCCTACAATGACACTGTGATGTATGAGGCATCATTAGTTCCTCATCATCCACCATTTCTTACCAATCGTACCATAAAAAACTGGCACATTTATTCAATATGTTGAAGATAACGCTAAAATGAATGTAAAGACTTTAAACAATAATAGTACGCTTCACATAAATGGTATCATTCAAATTATTACCCCGAAAATTTCATTTGCGCAAGAAGATCAAGTACCACATTATTGTTATTAATTATGAGAGACTTGCAGATCTTAATATTACCACTGAAAATCTAATAAATAGCACAATTTTATATAATGATATTGAAAGTAGAGACAATAACGAAAGATGTAAAGGATTACTTAATCAGTTCAATCAAAAATTAAAAAAATTTGAAAAACGAAGGCCTACAGCAAACTATGGATAAAATATTTATAAGACCTTAACGCATGGAAGATAGGTAAGCTTACTTGAAGAGCATCTTTTTGCTCTATGAACTCCAAAAAAAAAAAATTTTATAGAAAAGAATAGATATAAGTTCTGTAAAAAATACACGAAACAATAAAAGATTCAACTATCTTTTTTTCCTCAAAGTTCTGTTTTTGCTTGTCAACGCTTATATCTGGTACACTAACAAGTTCAAGTATGGATATGAAAACCAACTGGACCCAGCAGACTGGGGTAGGAAATTATTAGGTAATGCATTGGAGCCAATTCAAACTTCACTTCCACCTGCTCCGGAGTTCGGACTTCTTAACTTCATCTTTTGCTTTTGCAAAAAGAGTTGTAGTGCAAAATGTAGCTGCAAAAATGTCGCGTTATTGCGTTCACCAGTGGGTAATATTTGTCAACACCAATCTTGCTCCAATGTTGTATCAGTTTCAACAAATGAAGATTTTGGTGGTATTATATAATATAGTATTAATAAAGTATATAAAATGATACTAATATATAATATTTAAAACATAATATACAGATTATGTTGAAAAAGACTTCTTCAATTTTAAGATTTGCACTTTCTGAAGAATAATAATATTTAGAAAAGAAAAAAAAATAAAGAAAACTTTTGCAGATAATATTATGATCTAAAATTTTTGCTTGATCTATTTTTTTTTAATAATAAAACTTACCCTTAACTAGAAGAATTAAAAAAACTATTTTTTTCAACCTTTGACTTTGAATAACATTTTTTGCAGATGCAGGATCGGTGGAGATTTTTAATATTTTATTTGTAATAATGTCTCCAAGGTCTGTACAAAACGTCAGCTCTATGCAACTTATTGTAAACTGAAATGTCTATTTTGATCCGACTTTCAGCTATATCAGATTTCACTTTATAAACATGTTCTTTTCATCACCATATAATGCTATTGTTGCCGACTCTCCTGACCTCAGATAATAAGCTGTACCCATCCTAAATAATATTTTATATCTAAAATATACAATACAAAATATTGTATAACTAAACTTTAATAAAGTATTTATTACTAAAGTAAACATTACTAAATTTTAATAAAGTGTTCAGTATACAGAGAATTTCAATACTTTTTGGGATTGTATTTATCTTAATGATATTTTTTTTTGATGTTTTGAAAAAAAGTTTAGGCTTCTTTAAACTGTTTTTGAAGCCACCTATCAGAAATATCTATAATTTATATAAGGTTTGACATTATAGTTTTTTAAATAATTGAAATTCATAGTTTTTTTAACATCTTAAAAAAGAAATTATCTGCACCATTAGCTACTGATCTAACAATGTTCTAGCCGTAAAAAATAGGCTGTTTATAGAAGTGATTTCTGCGAGTTTACCTAATGGAAAAACATTCTTTGTTTTCAGAATTTACAAAACTTTTTCCAAAATTGGAGCTTTGTAATTTACCAGAAATATCAAATTGATAAAGAATTTTCAAAATTGTATTTTTCTGCATCTCTAGAAGCTAAGTCTATCCATTTATCCTGATGGAAACAGCAAGTCTGTTGAGTTAATAGTCTTATCCATTTGTGAACTCCTTTACTGTTTCCATTTAAATGGAAAATACAAAGCAGCGATGACAATTTAACTAGAAACAATTTAAAAAGATCTGTAATAAGTTTTATTATCTTTTTTCCTCCTTTAAATAAAACTTCTTTGGGAACTCTAAAAAACAGTTGAAAAGATATTGTATAATCAGAAACATCCCATTTTGAACTAATAATAACACTTGCCACTATTGCAATGAGTGTCTTACAGCAAGTTCTTCACTTATCGCTTTGAGACCTGTTTTCTTTAAAATATTTTTTAGTAAAAAAATAAGAAAAATATATTGTTTTTATTTTAGCTTGATACTTATAATCATAATAATTATCGCCATTTGAAAAGTTGTATATTCTGTATGAAGTGTAGATGCTGTTTAGTTCCATATCTATTTTTAAATGAGAAAACGATTTTTTGTTTGATCTGTTTATATTGTAAGTTTTTTTCCCACCTGCATTTACTTGTCTCATCATATTTCCTATTTATTTAAAATTTAAGATTATATCTTCATTTTTGGCTTTAAATGTCTTTTCCTTTCTGGCACTCATTTGAGCAAAGGTAAATCTTTAAGATATTCTTGAAGTAAATATTTCAAGATAAACTTATTTCGTTTCAAAAATGTAACTTTATAATAACTTACTTTGTATTAAATACAGTAAATAAATAATATATATATATATATATATATATATATATATATATATATATATATATATATATATATATATATATATATATATATATATATAATGACTGCATTATTTGTAACATTACTGATGATTAAATATTTACGTCAATTTATTAAATTTATAATTTTATTCTTCTTTAGATATCATAGATAAAGCAGACTTTACAAAGATATTCGTTGAACGTTTTTATGAAAGTCAGTTATCATTCACTAATGAAATAAAATCATTAATCGATAAACATCAGTGGGATATCTCAATTTACAATAAAAAAACTCTTTATGAAACTTCAAGCGAATATTATTTTGTAAATAGTTTTATAAATTTTGGTTTAAAGTTACGATGGTTAAGTGTTCATAAAAATAGTTTAAGTATTGACGAAAAAAATCTCATCATTAAAGTTTCAGAAAACGTTTCGTTTGTCTCTTTTCATTGTCCCTGTAAAATTGAGAATTGGAAACCGAAAGACAATATTGAAGAATTGAGGATACTAATGTCATACTATTATGTTTCAAAAAATAAGTTTGAGGAGTGTTTTCTTCCGTGGCTTCTTATTTGTAAAAGAGTGTATCTTGATCTACATAGAGGAACTGATTATATATCACAGATTTACGAATGGATTTGTTTTTCAAATATCAAAGAATTTTCGATTGTATTTCGTGGAAGATGTTTTCAGGACCTTGACGAGTTGAAATGCGTTCTTAAATAAAATGTAAAAATGTTTAATATGAAAAAAAAAGCAATATAAAATGTATTCTTGTCAAAAAAAGACAAAACTTAAATCACAAAACTCTTTTTAATAAAACTATATAAACTTCTACTACATTAAATAAATTCTTTTATCATTTATCTAAGGTTTCATAAGTTTACAAAATTTATGACACTCTAGATGAATGAAAAACTAAAAGTTTATTTTCAGTACTAGTTTCGATCCTTACACATTTTTATTGATAAAATTATAACCAGATATTGTATTAGTTTTTAAAAAAAAGTTTTATATATTATTTTTTAAATAAAATTGCTCGCGCATTAAGGCAATTACATTTTTTCCATTGAATACTGATACACAATTTGAGACTAAGTACCGGAACTGGTTAAATAGCAATGTCAAGCATGTAGAGAACTGTCAGATTCACCTGGTAATATTTAGAACTAAATAATAATATATGCATAAAATAATAATCATTTAGTGTTATTTGTCTTCTGTACAATTGTAGTTTTGTCAACGTCAATATATAAATGTTATCTTTATTATGTTGATATTTAAATGCCATGTTTAGTGTGATATGTAAAAAAATGAGTGTATATTTCACCTCCGGCAACTCCTACGCAAGAAATTATAAATGAGTGTCTAATCGTGAAGTTATACTGCCCTTCTAAAAAGAATTGGATAAATTTTTATAATGCCTTTAATATACAGGACAAGAGAGACCTACAGTGGAAATTTCTTGTTGATCGTACTAGACAAAGAAAAATAATTGGAAAAAACTCTGCAGCCAAAAATTCCACAGATGAACAAAATAAAATACTCAGTAGTAAATGGAGTAGTACTGCAGGGTGGTTGCTATAATATTAATGAAGAGCCTGTTCTGTTATTACAATGCAAGTTATCGTTACGTTATAGTATTATTTTTTTTTTACTTTAGTTAATCGTTATGCAAACGATGAAGCGTTAATCGTTATCGTTATCGTTATGCAAACGATGAAGCGTTAATCGTTATGCAAACGATGTAAGAAAATATAGTTAAAATGATTTAATTATTATTAAGTTTTTATTTTTTACTATTAATTTAGTAAGTATAGCTAATTACATCCAATAGTTGAATTGTTCATTAGTTATTTTTTTATTTATAGTGAGAATAGCAGCAACAACACTTGGTTAAAGTAGATATGATTATTATCACTATTATTAAATTTGTATATTATGAGTATTAATTAAGGACTTTTATTAAAATCCACTTCAACTGTATCTTATTTATTTGAAATTTATCTTATTTATTAGAAACCACTTCAACCACTTCAACCACTTCGTCAACCACTTCAACCACTTCAACCACTTCAACCACTTTGTCAACAACCACATCCTCGACAACTGCTGCTGTAGTTAATGGTAAGTGGTTTGTAATTGTGCACATTATTGTATTTGTGTTATCTTTACACTTACATATATTGCTGTTATAAAATTGTTGTTTTGTTATTTATTTTCATTACAGATTTGTCATATCAGGCTTTCTTAGCATACCGGAGAGAAAACAATGGACCCACATCCCATAGGGCTCATGGGATGTGGGTCCGAAACGGCGGCCGCTACTACCCCTATCCCTTCTTCCATGGGGGGGGGTAGTGGTGGCTGTCGTAGAAGAAGGGGTGGGGAGGGAGGAGTGGGATTACATACATCTACAATTAGTATTTTTTAGGTTACAATACTACAAAATGCTAATTGCAGATGTATTTTTACATATTTTATATTTGTAAATTGTTTTTGTATTATACCTTTGTATTATTTTTATATTATATCTTATATTATTATATTATTTTTTTTAAATTTTGTTTGTATAATATTTTTGTAAATTATTTTTGTTTGTAAATAAAAACCATCTTTTTTGTTTTGCGTTTCCTCCCCTTCCTGCAAAAAATCTTTTAAATTAACTTATTTAACTCATTGAGTTTTTTCCGTGAATTCCAGAAATTCAATTTCTTAAAACTCATTTAATTTTCTAATTTGAAAAATATTATATAAAATTTTAAATAGCACAAAGTTTGCATTTAAACAAATATATTTTTTATAATTTTCTTTTTAATTCATTCAAATTAACTTTTCCGAATATTAGAAATTTCTTACTAGTTTATAATTTTTTTTTAAATTCCTTATTTATCCTGTTATTTTAATAAAATAATTAATTAAATAGAAAGAAACTTTCAGTATTTTCATGAAGGCAAAAACTCATCTATGTTAACTAAATAAAATTTCTTTTATAAAAGGAAATGACTACAGACCAGGACGTGTTTTAATTTTGTCATCAACTTATAGAGGAAGTCTTGCATAATTTAATTTGTTTAAATAGTAGTTATATTAAAAAAATAGTTTGCTCTTGGTTGTTTACTTTTCTGTTTTCAGATTTTTAAGCTCCAAGCAACTTAGCGAAGCAAGTTTTGATATATATTTTAGTGTGATTGGAAAGAGCGGAAAGCTACTTTTTGAAAGCAATGAGTAATAACCCGTATTACGGGTTGCTTTTTGCTAGTTGATAGAATTTTTTTAATTTAAGTGTGACTTTCAATTGCCTCAATTACGCGGCATATAATTGTCATTTTATTATTTCATAGAGTTTTTCCGAAATACTTTGCAAAAACTTTAATAAATATCAGACATCTTAAAGGTGTCTAACAGATGTCTTAAATAATACAACTAGGATGTGATCGTCTTAAAGACGTCATTTAGATGTCTCATTTTCATCTTATACGTATCAATAAATTGCATAAAAATTAGATATCTTAGCTGCCTCTAATAGATGTCTGAAAAAAAATATCTAAAATTGATTGTTTTTAAAATGTCTTTCAGATGACTCAAAAATTCCTTAAAAATTAGGTATCTAAACTGCGTCTAGCAGATTTCTTAAAAAAGACATCTAAAATTTGATTATCTTTTAGATGTCACATTTTTAAAGCGTTTCTTAGATGTCTCACTTTTATTTTTTTCATCTCAAGATGTCTAAAGCGCTAACAAGACGTCTAATAAACATCTTTGTGCTTGCGGGGAATGAGGTAATCTATTCCCAGACCCTAATGGTTTAGGGACCTTAATACTTACATACTTGCTATATTATTAAAAAAAGTCATTTAAATCATTTTCACAATGTGTTTGTACAGATTAATGACATTTTAGTTTTGGAGCTTTACTTATTAATTTTGGTCAAGCGAGTCAGAGCGGCGTGTATGAAAGTATGAAAATCACAAACATCGAATAAACAAATCACAAAATGGAAGGAAATGTAAAATAGAAAGTTTAATTAGGTATAACTAATGCTAACGTGCAATAAATTAGATAAAACTTTAGAAGAGTAAACAAAATATTAGGTAAGTGATTGTCCATAAACTACGTCACGCTTTAGAGGGAAGGGTGTTAGTAATTTTGTGACAACTCATACGTAACTTGTTACTAATGAGTTATAATTTTGTGACAAAGGGGAGGGGGATAAGTCTAAAATAGTCAAAAATTGAGCAACGTTATTTGTAGTCGACTCCTAATAGTTATTATAGTACATTTTATTGTTACTAAATGAACAAACAAAAATTAAAGATTTAAAAGTTTAAGCGAATTAAAAGATATAAGGATTTTAAGATTTTTATTTGATTAAACTAACTTTAGAACAAGAAATTAAATATTTAACCTATAGCACACAGTTAAACACCTTTGTTTATTTTAATATATATAAAAACTGCATTGCAAAAACTTTTCGGTATCAACAAAAAGGATTTTCAATGAAAACTAAAAGCTTCATATATCTTTATTTGCATATGTCTTTGTTTTATATATGTTTATTTTGCAAGTATTGTCTTATTAACCATAAAAGTTTCCTAATAAACTTGTATTAAATTTGTATGTATTTGACGTTGCATTCGGTGATTGTAACAACACTATAACGCTGTCGGATTGAATGTAGCACTCAATGTATAGACTTGGAGAAATGTAAACAATCATCCCGCACGTGCTCTGAGATTTTTAATGTTTTCAGGTGTTTTGTTATTGTCGTTTTCATCTTTATTCAAAAAATAAGATAAACAGTACTATTAAAACATTTATTTTGAAAATTAGGAATAAGTTCTTTGGCATTTTTATTTTTTTGTTGTTTTTGTTTGTAATATATAAATATATATATATATACATATATATATATATATATATATATATATATATATATATATATATATATATATATATATATATATATATATATATATATATATATATATATATATATATATATATATATATATATATATATATATATATATATATATATACATTTAAATGATTAAAGGCTAGCACAACAAAATGGGGAATTTACAGTCACTCAGCTCTACTAAAACAGGTACACATTTTTGATTGTTTATATAGTTAGATATAGTTTACATAATTATGTAACTTGGTAATTTTTTTATTTTTAAAATTTTAGTCATTAAGTATATTGTTTAAAAGTTTTATAAAATGTATTCAAATAGTTATTTTAAAAATTGTAAATTGTAAGATTTATATTGATGCATATACAGAAAATCAATCTTAGTAGCTAATGCAGGTATAACACTCATTTAAATACTTTAATTAATTTTTCTAAAAAAAGGGATGGCATCAATAGAGCCAGCTCTACTGCTGCCTTGAAATCTAATAATACGATAACAGATTTCTATCTATGTAAAACTTGTAAAGAAAACTATTGTCATTAATTCAGATTCAACTTTAAATAGATTCTGTATATGGTTTCTCTGAAAGCAACACAATTCCATAACATAATCTGTAGAAAATTTAATAAAAAAAATAATGATAGATGTGTAATAGTGATGAATGGTAGTATGCCTTCACAATTAACGTTACATTAGAACTCATCATAAAACACACCAAAACTTGTTAAAGTTTTGGTGTGTGTTTAAATGTGTTAAAATAAGCTTCCGCAGTAACTAAATTTACTGTGGAAGCATATTTTTACCCAAAAATATATTTAATTTAATCCTTTTGAATCAAAATATATAAATTTGTTTTTTCATTATGATTTAAATATACAGAAGATGATATATCACTGTTTTTATTCGGTAGTGGTAAAATGCAAACTGCGAACCGCGAACTAATAAGATGCGAACTTTTTTGCGAACCAAGACATTATATTTTAATGACCACTACGGTTATGATATTTAAAAAAAACTTTTGCTCGTCAATTTTTTAATTTAAATTAAGTATAGTGTAATTTGATATACTTTGTTTAAATTAGATTGTATTTTTTTTAAATTAAATATAATTTATGTTTCTTTCTAAAATATATAGTAAAATAAACAATTTAACGGTAAACAAAAAATAAAAAATATATATATTTTTTAATATACCCTATAGGGTCTATTAAATATATATTATTATAGGTCCTAATTTAGTAAATCCTTAAAATCAAGCCTTTGCCACCCCCATGTTTTATAGTTCCTATAGTGCACAATAGTTTTTATTTGAAATCTGATACTTCTTACATAAATCACTCTGTTTCAGCATTATAATCATCAGTTTGTTTTTGCTTTAATACATTTTAATACTTATTTTCAAAAAGTAAATATTAAAAAAATAAAAAAGGTAAATATTAATTAATTTAAGGTAAATTAATTTAAGGTAAATATTAATTAATTAAAAAGGTAAATAAATAAAAAAAGTAAATATTAAAAAATTAAAAAAGGTTGTGGGTAAAATGCGAACTGCTAAACGCGAACTGCGAACCGGTAAAATGCGAACTTTTTGCGAAACATAGTTCTATTGGTTGTTAATGATGTAACATTTTTTATTTTCCGTTTACTGTTTAATTGTTTATTTTTCTATATATTTTAGAAAGAAACATAAATAATATTTAATTTTAAAAAAATACATTCTATTTTAAATAAAGTATAACAAATTACACTATAATTACTTTAAATTAAAAAATTGACGAGCAAAAGATTTTTTAAATATCATAACCGTAGTGGTCATTAAAATATAATGTCTTGGTTCGCAAAAAAGTTCGCATCTTACCGGTTCGCAATTCGCGATTCTTAGTTTGCATTTTACCACTACCAAATAAAAACAGTGATATATCATCTTCTGTATAAAGAAAAATTGATGGCACTTAATATGATAAGCGTAAAATACTGAACATTTTTGGAAAATCTAGACTTTATCTTTAAATGCTACAAAAATATAAGGATAAAAATCTCTGTACATGTTCTACCATGGAAGTATAAAACAGATGGAAGTTCAACCGCATTGAAATTCTTCGGGACTATGCTTGTAAGCTTTTGTTTCGTAAACAATCAGAAAACGACATCAAGACTGTACTTAAACGCTTAATCTTTATACGTTGACGCAAATAGATACGTTTATAAAAATTTAAAAATGTATTTTGAAGGTTCGCTAAATAATATTCAAGAAAAACATTAAAAATGGCGCAACGTAACGGCAACCAACAATTTTTTTATAAATTTTATATTAAATGAATGGAGTACTACAGGAATGAATGGAGTTATCATATACAGCTAATAAAACTTTAAACTTTACTTACTTAGAAAACAATTTTTTTGATTTTTTAAAAATTGTTTTAGTTGTCTTTTTTATCAAATGTCGTGTTATGACTTGAAGCAAGAAAAGAAGCTTAAACTAACATATGCTTTTAAAATCAAGTGGTTCTATTTAATTACCGAGTTTTAATAAAACTTTTGTTGAATAATTGCAATTACTAATGGTTAAAAATTTGCAAAATATCCCTAGAATAATTCATTTTTTAATGTTTTAATAAAGATCATTTCAGTGAATTTTGTTGTTTTTTCATCCAATGAAACTTGTCTTTTTATAATTGTCGGTTACAAGCTTACTCCCGAGACGACTTGAAATTGCTTTGATGTTTGCGGTTCGATGAACTTCCATCTGTTTTATACTTCCATGGTTCTACTCATATAAATCAGTTAATGAATTAAAAGTCAGGAAAATCATTAAAAATTGCTAAATGGTTATTTTTATTTAAATTAAAAAATACTAAATAGCAAGCTTAAATTAATAAAAGAATTGTAAATAATTTTATTTTTCTACGCTACTTTATGAATGTATGGCAAAATTAATATTAATTAGGCCATACATTCATAAATTCGTATGGAAAAATCAAATAAGTTTACAATTATTTTATTAATTTAGGTATATTGCATATTTTTGATATATATAAATATATTTAAATGTATGCTTTTATTTATATATGTTAATATACTTTTAGTTTTTTCTAGTAAATTTTAAAGAATGTATTAAAATGTCTAAAAAAACTTTCTTTCATAATGAGTGGATCTACTTTGAACCTCATTCATCATAGGGTTGGCTTAAGAGAGTTGTTGATAAAACAAATGGTATGTGTAATGTATCCGGAAAGATATTTTATTTAAGTAATATGAGTATAATGGCAGTGAAAAGTCGTGAAAAAGTTTTAAATCATTTCAAAAATATATCTTTAAAAAGCCAACCAATAGTATTTGATTATTTTTTTACTTATATGTCTCACAAAAATACAGTATTGCAAGCATTTGTTTTATCACCATCACTATTAGCATTTAATCGGGCTGAATCTTTTTCATCAATGTAAATTGTTCAATCAAATTTTTTTAGCGTAACAGTACCACCCTTTTCTTTATTTATGGTTCAGATTGTAGTAACACTCAAAATGATGTAACACGTTCTGAAATACTATGGGCACTATACAATACTCAGCTGCATTTTTTCTAAAAAACATTTTCCGAAATTGGGAATATGTTAAAGTCAATGTTTCCTGAAAGTTTTTTAGCTAAAAAAAGTTACTCTTGGAAAAAGTAAAATAGAATACAACATTACATGTGGTTTCTCCCCATTCTTTAATGAACTAGTTTTAAAGGTGCTCTTTACCATATACACACATAGTTGTTTGTTTTGAAGAGTCATTATTTGTATGTTATTCGCAATCATCTGACAACATAATACTTTTCATCAGTGTTTTTTGGTTATGCATCTGCAAATAATGTGTGCGAAGGTTTCACAACTGTTTTAAATAAAAATCTTTATGTTAAACTTATTCAAATTATATTATAATTATATAAAAATATTAACGGACCAAATGTGAATTGGAAGTTTTTTGATATTTTAAATAATGACCTTGGTAAAGAGTTAGAAAATTCGTTCTTGAAATGGGATCATGCAGCATAAAAGTGGTGTATGGTACATTTTAAGCTGCTCAAAAAAAGATAAAACGAAACATTTATTAAGTACTCAGAAGTATTTATAAACCTTTTTATAATAATCCTGATCGTAAGGTAGGCTACCAAACAATTTGTGTAAGTGATAAACTTTCTCTTGAATTTTTTTCAACATGTTGTTTTGTTGAAAATGTTTTTTTATGTTTTCAATATTTGGCTTCAATTGCTCACCTGTTATTAAAACTTCTTCAGTTAGATTCTCGATTAGTACCATTCTTATACCAAGAATTTAAAAAGCTAATGAGATCTCTCATGCTGGACTTAATTAAAGTCATAAAGCTAATAAAAATACTTAACTGCACACAAGTGTCAAGATAATTTTTTTTTTTCTTTTTGGTAAAATAAAAGTAAGGGAAAGTCAAAAGTACAATCAAAAGTTATTGTGATCATTTTTACTTTGATGTTGTTGGTAAACTGAAGATATGAAATCTCCTACTACTATTACTACTACTACTACTACTACTACTACTACTACTACTACTACTACTACTACTACTACTACTACTACTACTACTACTACTACTACTAATACTACTACTACTACTACTACTACTACTACTACTACTACTACTACTACTACTACTACTACTATTACTACTACTACTACTACTACTACTACTACTACTACTACTACTACTACTACTACTTGTACTATTAATAATGAAAATAATAAGAGTTATTATAATAATATTTCAACCACTTAGGAAATTTTTTTAACAGCATGGAATTTCAGATTTTGATAATTTCTGGTATACAAGCTAAAGTAAATGAAAAATACTTCACTCCAAATTTTAGTTTCCAACTCCTAACAGTTTTATTGATACAGAGATATTGATACTCAGTCCTGATTTCTTTTTTGACCTTTTATTTTGAACACCATTAATTTTTTAAACAGATTGCGTCACACATTAGCTTTAATTTATGTAATATTTTTTTACTGGCGATAAAAATTTGTTCCAAGCTATATTTAAGAGGGAAGAACTTAAATATGGTGGCTTATTCATTACAAAATTAAAGCTTTTATATAAAAGTTCCATTTCAAAACAGCACAATCCTTTTCTTGAGTTTTCTGACCCTCCAATTACCCACCACTCCCCGCCCTCCTCCATACAAAAAGTAGTATATCTTGAGGTGCCAAAAAGATATGATTCTGAAATTTTTTTCTATATGTAATAAGTAGTTTTTCTATTTAAACCTGATTTATTTGCATTGAGAGTTCTTCTAAATATACCTAAAAATTTACAAATATTGCTACTAAATATTTAGAAAAAAAAAAACTTTTTTTTAGATGTTTAAAATTCTAGTTGCTCAAATATTGTAAATAAATTTGCATTTCAATTCATAACTTAACTATCTTTATCTTATACAAATTTATTTTTGATAACAAAAGATTGTGAGTTTAGAAAATTTTAAATAGTTTAGTATTATTTTTTTATTTGGGATTAGAAAATAAAACAGTAATATGAATTATAAGGAATTTTTCAATTGGTTTAACAAATAAAGAAAATTGTTACAAGAAAAAAGTTTGTAAAAATGTTAAAAAAGCTTCTAGTCTTTACAATTGTAAACGTAATTTGTTTTGATCAATTTAGTTCGAAAAACGGAAAAGGAAGAAAAGGTATTATAAGTTAAACACAAAACTCTATTAAAACTATAAATTTTATAATTAAAGAGCGAGTTATATTAGTAAAATATTTACTAAAACATACATACTTGATATTTGAAATAATAATTATAATACGTGTTTTTAGAAGAATGTAAGAAAGTTTATCTACAACTGATTAAATAATTAAGAAACTTTTTTTAAAATGAAGAGATAATTTAAAAAGCATCTTTTCTCTAGGGCTACCTAGAAAAAAGATACGTCCTTCTTAAAAGATTAAAAAAATGTCATTCAAAGCTGGTAGACCAAGAGATCCAAATTGCATCCGGATTTATGAAGACAATGATATTAAACTTAAATACAAAAGCACAAAAGAAAGTCCTAATACTTCATCAACCTATATAAACTTGTGATCTTAAAATAGATATCGTGACTAGTTACTGGAAAGTAGTTCCTAGTATAAAGAAATTCTCACAAGTTCAACAAGTAGTAAATTCTAAGAACTTTAGATTTAGATCCTGTTAAGTAAAGCCAAGAATACTCTCTTAATAAATTATGTAAAGATGTTAAACATAAAGCAAATGGCATAAAGATACTTGCAATAAAAATCAAAGTAAAAATGTTAAGCTCCAATCATAATCATAAAATTCAACAACTATTATTGGTCTAACACATACGAAGAGTTTAATGAATCTAGTTATATGGTACATATTGCTGCAAGAAGAAGATATTTCATCTTTACTTTAAAAAAAAGGAAGAAAGGAAGAAAATACTTCTAGAGGCTTCAAGTAACATTGTTGAATTTTATGGTAATGATGAATATAGCAGGTAAATGTCTGTAAAAAAAAGGTTTTGTGAGTATATCTCGATTATATCTGACATGCAATTTGATTCTCTCAAAGAACTGTATAGTAAGTTTAAAAAGAGTTATCAGAATGTAAAGACTTATTTTATTTGAATTTTTTTTATAACCATATGATCAAGAAGTAAAAACCAGTTAGTAGTTGAATTTTCTTATTGCGAATGTTGAAAGGCTAACTTCAGTTGCTTGCCCTCATAAAACAACGACTAACCATATACTTACGGCTTTTGATTTTACTTTATAGGTTTTTCCTACATACCTAGGAGTTAAACTCAATCTTGAAGTGTAATGAAGCAGAGATATGCAAGTGCAATACATTTACCAGGCAATGTAGCTATCACAACTTCATACCTATAAATAACACAAAAACTGGAACGAAAGTTGCATCAGAACAACTAAAGAGTATTCATTTGTTTTTTAGTTTCCAAACTGATAAAACTATTAAGAAGTGTTTGTTTGCATATATGAACCTCGTAGTGTTTTTATGTTTTATATATAATAACAATCCATGGATTGGGCGATTTAAAATAATTTAACTTTGAAAATAAAGACTTTCAAGTAAAATACATGCACCCATGGTACTCTTCAGCATATTAATGGCCTTAAACAAATGATGTCTGTAGTTTTCTATTAAGAAACTTATAATTAAGAATAGTTAGTTCAATAATGTTACAGAAAAACAATAAACAATCAATGAGACTAAGCAACAGAATATTAAAGACAACTGGACAAATTTTGAACCAGAGTGCTAAACTTTTATGAATCTGTTTAAGGTTATTTATTCTTATTACATCTTTATTTTAGTATTTTTAATTTTTTTATGTTTTATTTTTGTTACGTAACATATTTTTTGAACTAAATATTACTAAAATCTTCAATCCTAATAAGCCTGGTTTAATAAGGGAAACCCTTGCAGATTTTTTTACTATAGAGTTAACTACATTTAGAACCATCGAAAAAAATTTCAGTATCAAATCTTTTAGATATTTCAAGTTTTCTTTTTTTTTTTTTTTTTTTTGTATGTAGGGTCAGTTAACTGAAGAAAAGGGAGTTTAGAAATTCAATTTTTTTTTATAAAAGCATTGATTTAATGGTGTTATAGAAATGATTTTCGAGTTTTTAACCCTAAAACATTGTTAGGTCCAAATTTGCAAATAGTGTCAAGCATAACTTGAATTGAGCTCGACTAACCCAATAATAACAAAAATAAAAAAATTAAAATAATAATGATAAATAAAAACTGTAACTATTAAACTGTTTTATTGCTGTTCACCTTTATTTCAAAATTTTCAAAGCATTATAGTTTTTATGTTTTATGATTTAAATATAAATTGATTTGTTGTTTATTATTTTTTCTTTAATTTTTTACAAATCACTTTATGACATTTATTTTTATTCTGTTTTATTTCCTTATGTTAATTTTCATTTTTATATCATAATACTTTTTTTCATCCATAATTAAGTTTCCTATATTTAGTGCAAAACAATAAACTGAATTCAGATGAATTGACTACAAAATGTTGTGGAAAGATAAGTTATAGTATTGGTAGTGATTGGTATCGATGGGGAATACACCTAGGCTTAAGCGATTCAGATCTTGATAACATTGGCTCTAATAATATAAAAAACTATGATAAAGCTGTAAATGTTTTAAAAAAATGGAAACAACTTAATGGAAATGTTTCATGGGAGCAATTAAAAAAAGAGTTGATATCTTTTGAGCGTTTGGATATTGTGAATAAAATTGAAAAGGATTTTAGAGGTATTTTCTTTTATGTAATAGAATATATCGTCAGGTTAAAATTATTTTGTTCTATCTCCACAATTTTTTGTTTTGAGATAAAACGATTTAAAAAATACAAACTTTAGGAGACGGCATATAAAGCGACTTTTATTAGTTATGTTTTCTCCAAAACTTTTTTGATTTTAACTTAGATTTTAAAATAGTAGAAAAACATTATTTTGAGCATAGAAGTATAAAACAGATGGAAGTTCATCGAACCGCAAACATCAAAGCAATTTCAAGTCGTCTCGAGAGTATGCTTGTAACCGACAATTAAAAAAAAGCAAGTTTCATTGGATAAAAAAACAGCAAAATTCACATTAAACATTAAAAAATGAATTATTCTAGGGATATTTTGCAAATTTTTAACCATTAGTAATTGTAATTATTTAACAAAAGGTTTATTAAAACTCGGTAATTAAATAGAACCACTTGATTTTAAAAGCATATGTTAGTTTAAGCTTCTTTTCTTGCTTCAAGTCATAACACGACATTTGATAAAAAAGACAACTAAAACAATTTTTAAAAAATCAAAAAAATTGTGTTCTAAGTAACTGAAGTTTAAAGTTTTATTAGCTGTATATGATAGCTCCATTCATTCTTGTAGTACTCTATTCATTTAATATAAAGTTTATAAAAAAATTGTTGTTTGCCCTTACGTTGCGCCATTTTTAATGTTACGTTGTGTCATTTTTAATGTTTTTCTTGAATATTATTGATGAACCTTCAAAATACTACATTTTTAAATTTTTATAAACGTATCTATTTGCGTCAACGTATAAAGATTAAGCGTTTATGTACAGTCTTGATGTCGTTTTCTTATTGTTTAAGAAAAAAAAGGTTACAAGCATAGTCCCGAAGAATTTCAATGCAGTTGAACTTCCATCTGTTTTATACTTCCATGTTTTGAGGTACATGATACGATTAATAACCCGATTTTTTCAAAAGGTGGAAATATAAAATAGTTCTAACCTGACGATATGTTATATATATTTATAAAGCTTTGTGAAACAAGTTATTATTATAACATTTTATAAGTTTTACTTTTTATGTTGTTGTTTTTAATGTAATTTTTTAAACTTAAATTTTAATAAAGCGTAAACAAAATATAAAGGTGATACTTTTATTAATTTTTAGATTATTTATTCAAAACACCTATATCGGAAAAAAAAAGGTAACATTCTCATTACAACTTTTTAATGGTTGATGTGAGTATATATAATACATAAAACGATTTAAACCATATCACCTTTACATCTTAGCATTGTTTTCTTTTTAAATAATTTGCTGCCCATAATAGAAAAATTATAATTGCAAAAATTTTAGCTATCTATATATATATCTGTTAATAAAATTGTCGGTTAAAACAATACTTATTCAGCATTTAAAAAATAATTTGAAGAGACAGTATTTTGAAAGTGTTTGGGTGAAATTCCTTAAAAAAAGATAGCATGACTTGTCAAGAAATGTCTTGATTGTTATTTTTTAATTAAAAATATTCACAAACACTTTTGTGTATAATTAATTTATATTAGATCTACTTAAGAAACTTATAATTATGTAATGTAGTTATAATATTTGATCAAAGTAAGCATCCCAAAAAAGCATTTTTTTCGGAAATTCGGAAACTTAAAATTTGTAATAAAGAGGATTAAAATATTTTTTTAAACTTTTATTAAAACATCAAAGAAGTTTTATTCAGTGACTATTTAGGACACAGCCATGTGCTAAAAATAAAGTTGCAGCCTTCGTTTATCCTTAAAAGACTTTTTTTTCATAAAGTATGATTCATATTCGTAAGAATTTACCCATTTCTCTGAAAACTAGATTTGAATCCAGCGACTATTTTTTTATGTGCTTTTGTTTAGCACCACTTCACTTTATTGCCTTTCTTTGTTCTATATCTCTCTCTTTAATCTCAAAACAGCACTATTTTTGAATTTATTTCTGGTCAAATTGACAAAGCCCTGTTTCTTTATATATCAGCCAATATCATTGTTGTTGGTTACATTATTGCTCATCACACTTAATGGCTTTGTTCTAGTGTCAGTGATTCAGTAGGCATTAAGGTCCACAATTTCTCCCTTTCTCAATCTCTAAATAAAATATTCAACTTTTCAACTCGCTTTCGTGACAACCCCAGTTATTTACCATCTTTACTCGACTCATGTCTTGTTTCTGATTCTAGTCATTTCTCAGTTTCTCCACACTCACCCTTAGGTGCTTCTAATCGCGGTTTGATTTCTCAAAACTATCATCTCATTTTTCTTCATCAGTAGAATCCCCCTATCATCGTACCTCCTACAACTACATTGAAGCTTACTGGGACTTTTTTTGTGATTTTCTTAGTAATGACCCTTGGGTAAAAATCTTTCGTTATCCTGCTGACAAATGTGCTTCTTACGTAACTTGTGGATTCAGGCTGGCATGGGATACTTTATGCCCTCTTGACAATTCCAAGTCTAGCCCAACTGTTCTCCATGGTTTTTCTCACATTGTGATGCTGGAAATATCAATCGAAACCATTACTTACATATATCAGCAAAATTATTCTCCGGAAAATAGACGTCTATTTGCTATTGCTAAAAACCCTTGTGAAACAGTTTTTGTCTAACGCCTCCGCCCGCTATTCTCAGGTCACAAAATCTCGTAATTCATCTCAAAAGTTAGGCTCTTGTGACTTATGGAGAATCTTTAACAGTATCAATAATAAGAGTAAATCTGTTATTCTATTTCTCTTGTATGGTTTAGATTAGCTGAACTTTTTGTTAAGAACTTTTCATCAACATCATCTTTTGATTCAACTAGATGTGATCCACCTATCATAGCGGACAAACAGATTGACCCATTGCTTGATATTCGTATGACTCCAGTGACTTTTTGCTTAGACTTTTTTACAGCTTGTGGTCCGGACAACGTATATATTGTAGTCTTGCAGAGCCGTCGTCTATACTTTCAAAATAATTTATAAAGTGTTTTGCGGAGCCGTCGTCTACACTTTCAAAATAATTTATAAAGTGTTTAAAAGAGTCTTGTTTTCCAGCCTGATGGAAAGCATCATCTGTTATACCTATTATCAAAAGTTCTGAAGAGCGATCTGACTCGTCTAAATACCGTTCCTTTAGTTTTCTTACTATTATAATGAAGGATTTTGAACAATTATTCTCTCATCTTGAATCTAATAACATACTTTCTGATCTTCAATATGGATTTCGATCTTCTCGTTCTACATTTAATTTGCTAACAGTAATAACAAATAGGTTTTATGGTGTATTACATAGAAGTTAAAGCTATTGCTTTAGACATTTCTAAAACCTTTGATAAAGTATAGCATGCTGGTCTTCTCCATAAGTTTTCTTCTTATGGTGTATCAGGTAACGTCTTACAGATTGTTGAATCCTTCCTTTTCAATAGTAATATAAAAGTTGTCCAAGATGTAGAACAATCTTTTTCATATCCTTTAGTTTTAGGGGTTTTTCAAGGTTTCATTTATGGCACTATATTCTTTTTAATTTACATAAATAATCTTTCAGATATTCTCCCATCTAAGATGACATTGTTTGCTTATGATACTACTTTTTATTTTTATCTTAATTACAAACCAACACTTTGCTTTGAGGGGCAATTCAAGCTTGAAAAGCATCTCATTTCTGCTACAGCATGGGTGCTCATAGTGGCTGGTTAATTCAGATAAAACCTATTTTTTTTTAGCCAATTGTTATCGCAATAATTTAGATCTTCCTATATTTTTGAAATCATATTTAAATCTTACTTCCTATCTTTCTTGGAAGTTACATTTTTTGCCCTATATACTTCATATTTTCTCTTTTAGTAACTTTTAACTATAACAGTGATTGCTTGTAGCCATGTTGGAAGCGAAGATGTTGAATATATATATATATATATATATATATATATATATATATATATATATATATATATATATATATATATTTAATATATAATATATATACATATATATATATTTAATATATAATATATATACATATATATATATATATATATATATATATATATATATATATATATATATATATATATGTATATATATATATATATATATATATATATATATATATATATATATATATATATATATATATATATATATATATATATATATATATGTATATGCTATTGCTGAACACCCAAATGATTTTTTTTAGTTATAACTTGACCCCGACAGTTTAGATGTTTAGAAAGTTTAAACGTTTTAGAAATGCGCTGAAAAAAAAAAAACGCCGTCTCTGAAAAGTTGTTTTATCTGGAAAATCTTTTAAAACTTTTGCTTTAAAAAGCACTATTATAGTTGACCTTTATGGACAACACTTGTCTTTAATTCCGACAATCACTGTTTTTCCACAAAGTTCTTTGGTTTTAAGTTGATCCTCATCTATATTATTAATTTTTGTAACAATTTTGCCTATTAGTGGCTCTATTTGCTAATAAAGCAACTATATACTATATTCTTGATATGTCATCACTCATTGATTGCATGGATAAGGCATTCAATCTAGAATCTGGTTTCCGTTCCATGACACATTTTTTCTAGCAGTGAAAGGTGAGTTTCAACTGCAACAGTTTCGTATTTGAGTTTATTTATAGTTGTGACGTAACCCAAACCAGACTGAGTTTTGTTTGGGTCAAAATACAATACAGTTTTCAATGCAACGCCAAAAAAAATAAAACATGGCAATTTTTTAACCTATTTTTGCTTGATTTTTATCTCAATTGTATAGCAATCATATTTTGTCTGGTATAACCAAATGCGCATCAGAGTGTTCATACATTAGTAGTAATAGTAATAGTAATATTTATTGCTGTAACAATTACATATTTGTTTAAATATAAATATTTAAAAATAAAATAAACTGTGGAACACGATGCAAGCATCGGGTTATAGACAGCCCACACAAATAAAAAAAAAAAAAAAAAAAAAAAAAAACATTGACTAAGTTATTATTTTTACTCGGTTTTTTTTTTGAAGTTTTATTTGAAATTGATAAATTATTAAAATGTAAACATTATTTTCATTAAATAAAAATTTTTGTTTAATTAAATATTATTGCGTTTTTATTTAAAATGTATTTTATTTGAGGGTATGCATTATGTTCAATACTAAAAACAGCAAAACCTCTTTGATTATACTGATACCCTTTCAGCTTCAGTGTATTTTTTCAAGTCATTTGTATGATATTGAAACTAACTTCATGTCTCATGTCTATGTCTCAGCTACTAGTAGATTTTCTTTTAAGGGTTGCACCAATATCCTCACCTGGTCAACTTTTTGTAACATAGGTCAAATACAAGTAAAAATAATAGTAAAATATTTAAGCTGCAACTTCGAATATTAAAAAAATGTGCAAAGTACACTTAGACAGCTATCTCATTAAAATCTTTGTTACATTATTTAAAATTAATTTGGAAAGTTTAAAAAAATGCAAACAAATTTTTTCTTAAGATTAGGAGGCTCACGAATTCAGAGAATTTAATTTATTAACAAAAGTATTTTGCATAATATAGTAATAATTAAACAATAGTTAGTACACTATATGACACCATTTTTGAACAAAAACATTTTTTTAAATCCAGAAAAGCTGCAAAGAACAATAAAATTTTTAGTTTTATCAATTAGATTTACGACTTTAACTGAAAATATTGTTTTTTATTAAATTTAGAGGATATTGAATATCTTTTTAACTTTTTATGTAAAGAGGTCATAGTGAAAATTTTGTTGCGAATGGAAGTAATTAACTTAATTGTACCCAGTTGATTATGCATACAACATAAACTAATATTCTAATGACTAATATAATTGAGTTATCAAATTTCCAAAGCATTTTTAATGAATAAACTTAATTTGAAGTTATACTTTTTTATAAAACATAAAAACATTATAAAAATTGGTTTTATTAATATGAAGAAAATAGGTTTTTAACCATAACAAAGTACTGCAGAAAGACTAAAATCTGAAACATATTTTCATGAAATTGCTGGTGAGTTTGAAAAATTTCATAATCCAAATTTAAAATCAAACTGTGCAATGATTTACAAGTAAATAAGGCTAAAAGCGTTCAAAAGAAAATTTTTACATCAAAACACCAAAAAACAATCGATCGTCTAATTGCTTTTGGAGAGTCTAAAACTGTAACG